ACATATATATATATATATATATATATATATATATATATATATGTCTGGGTGATCAGTGCAGATGGACTCTGGTAATAAAATGACATACTAAATCTTATCTTTCTTGGCATTTTACAGTTTTATTTAATAATAATAATAATAATAATAATAATAATCCACTAGAAGTGGTTGATTTTCTGATAGCTCACTGTGTTAATCTAAATAATAAAATGAGCATGCTATATCAGTGAGTGAATTTGTTTGTATAATTCCAGCAACTTTATATTTGTGTAACAGGGGGAAGAAAAAGAAGCCCAGGAACTGTTCCGACAGGTGGGTTTGGCTTCTGCATTCTACTTTCTCCGTTTACTTAGTTAGCCGGTTGCGTGTTATGAATCGTGCAATGATGGTCACTCTTAAAACAGCATCATATTCGTGGGTTGTGAGAACTCAAGTTAGAAAAGGAGCAGGCGCGGGACAGAGAAACACGAGAGTTGCTTCACTTCCTTTCTTTCTCATCGTTTTGGGTGCACTTACACTTGGTGGATCAACCGCTTTCAGGTGGGTTCCCATTTTTTTATTTTTTCTTCGATGACTGAAATATTAGACCAATACAATATGTACCTGTGCATGTTGTTTGCTGCATCTCAGAGCTTACCAAAGACAGAAGAACGACCAAACTTCTTACAATCCTTTTCTCCCTTGAGGCCACCAGACGTGTTAAATGAGAGTTGAAATGTGAATTCTAAGTTAGCCTTGATTTGAATTTGTCCAGGCTACCCCAAGTATTTAGTATGTATCAGGTTCACCTACTTCTGAGTTCCAAATCTCGGATGCATTTGGTTTCGAGTATGTTGAAAAATGGTTTCAAATGATTTGAAATTCATTATATAATCAACCAGTATTCGACTTTTGCATTTGCACAAATATATAAATAAAGTATTGTGAGTTATTTGTATGCATATTAATGATTTTTTGCCAAATTTACACTTAAAGGAGCTGAAATATTTATTTTTTTAAACTGTGTTTATCATATTGGATGTAACGTATATTTTGATATGTATCTTTTTTTTTGTGAATTATTTATTATTTGTTAGGAATTTCAAATACGTTTTTTATTTTTCAAAAGAAGTTAATTTAAAAAACCACAGCAATAACATCTAATCATGTTAAATAGTCAACACATTATATAGTCAACTGTAAGTAAATCAAAATTTAAAATGATTTTTGTAATTTTGAAGTGATTAGTGTGTTGATTATCTAATAATTAAATAAGAGGTTAAATAAATAAAGAGTAACGGTTTTTGAAGGAAAAAAAATTATATTGTCACATAGGTATAATTTAATAAGTTTTATTAAATACTCATGAGCCAGCAATTATATATATATAGATTATGTCTATTGCCAAATGAGTTTTTGAATTCATAAATCCAAATGAAACCTCGTGTCTCTAAATCATAAAAATACGCAGATGAAGTCGTCATGCATAGATAACAGCGGCAAAAGCAGTTGGATACACAAGCAACTCAAATCCTCCACAGTTAAATAATACTGATCAACAATTAAGCCAGAAAAAAAAAAAAAAAAAAAAAA